TCCAGGCTTCACCTATGGGGGAGACTTGGCAGTGAGCACTATGTGGGCATGAGAGCGGGGGGTCCAGGTCTGGGGGAAGAACACAGCACGCACAGCACCCCCACCCCCAGGCAGGACAGTGGGAGACCTGGGGCTCATCTGTACAGTCACAGTCAGGGGGTGCCTGCTGCCTGGGCCTCGGTGTCCCCAGAGTGTCAGTACTTGGTGGAACCAGATTCTCTTCCCCAGTAAGATTCCAGCACATTCATGACACTTTTCAGATCAAGTCTTAGTCCTCTTGGAAATGTAGGGCCGTGTCACCCCTCCCAGCAACCCGTCACCCTGCTGGTGGAGAGCAGTGGGCGCCCGGCCAGGCTCCTCGGGGACTGACCCGGCTCCCTCTCTCAGGAGCCCTGGGGTCCGGTCTGCTGATGTTCTCTGGGAGCCTGGACAGGATCCCCACGGCCCAGGACTGTTTCCAGAACATCCAGGACACCCAGAGACCTTTGCAGTCAGACAGAGTCTCCAGGTGTGGGACCCAACTTCAGGGGCCTACATGGACAGTGCCCCCACCCTGCGGCCAGAGGTGCTGCTCTGGGTCATGGACGCGCTGCAACCCCCAGCCCCAGGAGCCAGTGGGTGGGAGCAGCTGCCCAGGGCTGTGGGGTGTAATGCCGCTCATGGCGACTCCCCAGTCAGCTGTGACTCTCTGCAGAACTCCAGGCCTATGAGCAGTGTCTCCCAGACCGGACACTCTCTCAGGGACATGGCGTCTAACCCCCAGGGGCTTCTGGAACAGTCTCTGCAAAGTGCAGACACTCAGCCCCTTGCCCTCGGTTTCCTGCATTTTTGCTGTGGCTGCGGCAGCGCCTCCCCCATGAGTCTCCTTCCTCCTCCCAGAGAGGGGCAGGCTGGGCTAGGGCGGGGCCCTGAGGCACCTGGGAACCAGGATCCTGCACCCCAGGCCCCTTGTGAGCCACACCCCAGCCACTGCCTCTCCCCAGCCCTGCCCCGGACCGGGCCCCCAGGGGTGCTGCTTGGGGTAGTTCTGTCTCCAGACAGACACCCGCAGGCACCGCTCCCCGGTGGGTTCTCAGGATGACGGCGAACTCGGGACACGTCCCCGGGAAGGAGCAGCAACTCCCCTCAGACAGGCGGCCAGGGCACCCTCTGTTCACCCAAACACATGCACAGCAGGTGACAACACACACTCACACAACACACAGACACTCACACGAACCTACGTACACAACATAACACCTAAATATGACGCGTAGACACAACACACAGCATCACACTCATCACACACACACACAACACAACACAGTTACACTCACCCACCACACATACACGCACATGTGCGCGCACATACACACACATCTGTAACAGGAACAAACATATCGTGCACAGAAACACAAATACACATGCACAAACACGCCACACAACTGACTCACACCAAGCATTCCCACACAACCGTCACCCCCCACACACACAGCACACACAAACTCAAAGACACGCCCATCCCTCACACACCCCTCACCCCCACACGGGCACTCACCAGGCAGCTGGCAGCAGGTACTGTGTGTCCCCTGGGGCCGAGACGATCACCCCCACTTCCTGAGGAGGGAATTAATGGAGGGTGTCCAGAGGGCTGAACACAGAGGAGACATGGCTTAATTTTGAAGCAAAATTTCTTGGCTTTTGGAAAGGGCTTGCTCTGTGTGAGAGACGTGAGCACCTGCTACGCCTGCGTCTGGAGCGAACCGGCTGTCCACAGCGCTGTCAGCAGGACGTAGGCGCCGCTTGGTGATGGCGCTGCTGTGGACACCGAGCCAGGTCCTCTTTTCTCGGCACCAGGGAGAATGATCTTCCCGGCTCTGCCTTTCCCTGTGCGGTGGTCGCATGTGCCAGCTCTGCGAGGGGACACGCGCACTCCTTCCCATCCACCTGCTGGAGTACCCGCCTGCGACCAGCCCAGCTCTCACACCCCTTAGATTTAGTAGACTTTCTTCTCTTTATTGCCACGGAGATGGAGGCCTTCAGGATTTCAACATTTTGATCACGCAGGACCATGAGCTCCGAGATTTTAGATTTCAGGATTTGACCTCCTGGATCTGGGGTTTGTGATTGTGTCTTTCAGGATCGTGATCAGCACCAAGAAGTAAATTGCATCTATGAAAAATGAAAAGATGTTGCAAAATTATCATTATTTGTGGATGCTATGATCATATATCTGGGGAAATCAAGGGAATACACTGATAAACTCCTGTAAACAATGAGACCAATTCCAAGTGGAGGATGCAAGATGAAATAAAAACTCTAAAAATTGACTAACATGAAACAGTAGCCCAATAGATACAAATTGTCATTTTTAAAATAACCAAAAATAAAATACTGAAGAATAACCTTTAAAATTATGTAAAAAAAAAAAAATCGACCTGAAGAAAACTTGAACAAGATTGTCAGGATGTGGAGCAAGCAGAACTCTCACAGGGTATTGAGGGAAAATGTAAGCGGGTCAAACCACCCTGGACAATCCTGGTAGTGGCTAGGGAACCTCCTACCTCAATAGTCAGGGTGCAGCTACTGTACCCCAAGGGGAGCCCAGCAGAAGCAGGTGCGTGTGTTCACCAAAAGGAGTGCCTGCGACATTGGCAGTGGTGCTGCCCAGAACAACAGGCACTAGTAAATAGCCATAAAATAGGAGTGTTCTCCCCACAAACAAGGAGAGAAAAGAACATGGTAACTCCATGAGATCACAGACATGTACTTAGTTTGGTTGTGGTAAATACAACCCAGAGTCACCCAGGGAATAACTTAAGTTTGGGGACTGGGTGGACCTTGAGCTGGCAGCCATGGAAACTCCATCTGCGGGGAGCCCAGGGCTCATCCTGGAATGGTCTGTGGTCTCAGGGCAGAGGCCAGCACACCCTGTACTGGGCACATGGGTGGAGGCCATGGGCCCCCTGGGCTGGCTGTGACCTAAGGCCCCTGGCTGAAAACCAGCAACGGGACAGGTGCAAGGAGGGAAAGGTGTGAGCTGAGCCACCTGCAGGGCCAGTCCAGCAACAGGGAAACATTTCCCTTTTCTCTGTAAATGCAAATGCACATCGCTGGCTCCGCTCACCTGAGCTTCCTATGCTTGTGGCCCAGGGCTCAGGGCTCCAGAAGGAGGAACACACTTGTCCTCACTCGCAGCAGAGGCAGCAGCTCAGGGCTCTCCCAGAGAACTCGAGACTCATCGTCTGCAGAGAAGGTGAGGCCAAGAGGGCCGTGGGTGTGGTGATGCGCCTCAAGAGTGTGAGTGTGAGTGTTGGGGGGACATGGAGGAGAGCGCCGGCGGGGGCTGGCGTGAGGGGAGATGTGTCAGGAAACCAAGAGATTTACTGGAGTGACCTCCACAGGTCAATGTTTAGATTTCATTCTCATCTCATGCTTCATCACTTTGTGCCTTTCCTGTCTCGGGCTGTCAGTCAGGCATTCCTGGGAGAACCCCAAGTTCCTCTTCCTGGAAGATGGTCCCAGAAGCTGGACTCTAAGCAATAAAGGGTGTGTCCTAGTCTAGATCTTTCGAATAGAGTGTGTGTGTGTGTTCAGTGTGTGCAGAGACAGATCCACACAACTTCAGGATCACACCGACGTTACTCGTGGTGAATTATAAGAAGAGCTTAAAAGTGGTTTGGTTCTTTTCCACCTTGGGATGCATTTGCTGGAGGTTTTCATGCAATTAATGTGTTTTGAATCACTTGGAGTGTCTCCTGTGTGTAGTTCTTCCTGTGATGTTCTCAGGCACACGGGTCTGTTCCCTTGTTTCCTTTCATTTTTAAGAAGGAATTTTCAATATGACCTTGTTGTGATGTACAGTATTTACATGGTGCTAAAATCAAAACACAAAATGCCCTCTTCCTTCCACCCCCCCTTACCCTCTCGTTCTCTTGCTTACCCTCTGCCACGCGCCCTGGGCGCCCCCTCCAAATGAGCCGTGGTTTCAGGGCACGAGGCCTCTGTCACCCTGAAATGCCAGGACCTGCCCGTGAGGCCCCCGGGGCCGGAGCGGAGCCCGCACCTGCCGGACACTGTCTGCGGGGGAACGCGGGGTTTGCCCGGAGACCCTTCCTCTGGGCCCACAGTCACGGGGGACATGTTTGGGGGACCCCGCGGCCTGGGGTCTCGCCCTGGCGCCCCCTCTCCAACATGCCCTCACGTCCTGACTGCGGGGTGGCACTTGTCTCTCATCCCCCGGGGTCTCGGGGACCCCAGAAGCACCGCGGGGTCCCCCTCTCCCCAGCTGTTGCCCGCTGTCAGGAAGGCGGGGTGCGGCCCAGGGCCTCATGGTCAGAGCCGCACACCCCAAGTCCAGGTGTCCCCCTCGGGCCCGGTTTGCGTCGTGTTTTGGGGAAAGTTTGGGGAAGTCTCCCCAGCTCAGGCTTGGGGGGTGCGGGCCTGTCTCCTGTGGTGTCGCGGGGCGTCGCTTCTGGGGGTGACATCTGGACCCTCCGGCAGGTCCCAGGGAGCATGAGGGGAGGGGGCTGCCCTCCCGGCCAGCCCAGCCTTCCCCCCGACCCCACCCCTCCAGGGGCGCCTACCCTCAGGCCAGTTCGGCTGGGGGTGCTGCCTCCTGCCCGGTCCCCCCGTCGGCAGCACCCTGCGAAGCCCCCCCAGGTGAGTCACTGCCACCCCGTGTCTTCTCCCCTCCCGGCCTGTCCTGACTGCTTCTCCCCGTGCTGACCGTACCCCCTCCACCCTCGCCAACGTGGTCTGGGAGTGAGAGCGTGTCCACCGCCTCTGGTGCTGGATAGATGGAGAAAGATCAGAAGCATGTCCCGCTGCTCTCCTGCGGGGTGACTGGGAGAGAATGGCTCCTCGCAGGTTCTATGAACCATGTTTCTCCCATTGAGCTTCCCCAGCCCCACCTCCCCACTCGGTTCCTAGAGTAAACCCCACTAGTCAGGACGCGCCATGGCTTCCAACGCTGCTGATTCTCTTTCCTGACATTTCCCTCCAGGACCCACCCGGTGACCATGGCTCACAGTGAGGACAACGCGCTGAGGATTGTGCTCGTGGGGAAAACCGGCAGTGGGAAAAGTGCCACAGTGATCACCCTCCTGGGGAGAAGAGCATTTGAATCTAAACTTGCAGCCCACGCTGTTACCAGCACGTGCCAGGCAGAATCCCGGGTCTGGCAGGGGAGGAGGCTTCATGTGGTCGACACCCCAGGGCTCTTTGACACCAAGGAGAGCCTGGACACCACCTGCTTGGAGATCAGCCAGTGCATCCTGGCCTCGGCCCCGGGGCCCCACGCCGTCGTCATGGTGATGCAGCTCACCCACTGCACAGAGGAGGAGCAGAAAACTATCAAGTTGATCAAGAGCATCTTCTGGGAATCCGCCATGAAGCACATGATCTTCCTGTTCACGCGCGAGGATGATTTGGGGGACGATAGCCTGAGTGAGTTTATAGCACAGGGACCCAAGCCGCTAAGAAGCATGGTCGAGGAGTGTGGGGGCCGCTGCTGCGCCTTCAACAACAGGGAGGGGGAGGCCGAGAAGGAGGCTCAGGTGCAGGAGCTGGTGGGGCTGATAGAGAAGATGGTGCAGAGCAACGGAGGGGCCTGCTTCTCTGACAACATCTACGAGGAGATGGAGAAAAAGCTCAAAGAAAAGGAGAAGTTGAAGCAAAAGGACACAGAGCACAGAGATAAAAAAAATTAAACAGGTAGAAAAGGAAGATGCTGATAAGCCAAGGGAAGACAGGGAAAGGAAAATCGAAGCGCTGCAGAGGCAATGGGAAGAGCAGAGCAAAAATGCAAGGAATGAAGCTAAGGGCGGTGTGCTTGACGACACTGTGAATTGGGTCAAGGATACACTGTCAGGAATATGGCAGATGTTTTGGGAGTAATGTCAGCCTCAGCTTCCTTCCCAGCCTGCGGTGACGTTAATGGGGTACGTGCGTCCCCACGTGAGTCCATGGCAGTGTCTCCTGTCTTCCTTGTCCCTGCACCCTGACCTTGCTCCCGCTGTTGAGTGGTGGGGTCTGTGTTCCCTGCCTGACGTGGGTGAACAGCAGGTGGCTGACGCAGCCCCAGGGACTTCTCAGGTGGAGCCCGAACCTGCCCCCTGCTCCCTTGGGTGCTCGCCCTTGGACTGGCCACCATGTGGTGAGCAAGCCCACGGGACCACCGAGAGCCCCCCATGGACAGGAGGTCCACTCACTGACCCATCCAGGCTGACCTTCCATCTGCAGCATAAGTGAGGAACAGGGACAGGGGACGCTCCAGCTGCCCAAGGGCCCATGAGGCTGAGAGAGCAGCAATGAGCCCTCCCTCCCCCAGACCCGTCCACATGGGATTCATTAAAATAAATGATTCTTCCTTTGAACCACTAGGTTTTTTTTTTTGTTTTCAAACTTTTTTGAAAAAAGATTTATTTATTTATGGATACAAGAGTGGGGTACAGGCCAGACATATGGGGGAGAGTGAGAGGATTCCCCAGAGACAAAGTGGGGAACAAAACAGGCAGACTGACCAAAGTGCACTGCTGAGGGGAGCAGCAGGTGAGTCAGGAGAGGTCTGCTGCGCCATGTGGGTAGCTCCCTGGCCGGGGACCAAACTTGTGTAGCAGTGGCTGTGGGCAGCTTCATCGTTACCCCTTGTGCCACCAGGGAGGCCTCAACTTGTGTTGATGTTTCAAAGAATCGTTGACTGACTTATTATTGATGCCTCTTTGTACCAATTCACACATCATTTAAGACTTCAAAATAGCTTTAAGTCTTCACTATTTTGTATGACTACACATTAGCATATTTTGTATACACCTACATTCTCGGTCATCTTTGCATCATCTCTACCGTCTGTCACTGGACCGTGGCTCACGGTGGCACCGCAGGCCTAAAATAAAACACCGACAACAAAGCAACCCAGTGAAGCAGATACTGTGCTGTGCGCACCCCGGACCCCTGTGACCCCCGTGACCCCGCGCCCATTTTACACCAGGTCATCTTTTCAGCTGTGGGATGGACGTGGTCTGGACATCAGCCCCGTAAGAGACGTGACCAGCAGACCCCGCCCCCCCTTGTGAGCTGCCTTTCCGCTCTATTGATCGTGATTTTTGATGTACAAAAATTCTTAATTTTGATGGACTTTGTGTTTTCTAGTTTTTCTTGGTAAATCTTTTAGAGGTTTTAAAATTGTGGGGTTTTTTTAAAGATTTATTTGTTTATGCATAGAAGAACTGGGGTATAGGCCGAGGTGGGGGGTGAGAGGAATCATGAGAGACAGAGTGGGGAACAGAACAGGCAGATTGACCGAAGTACACTGCTGAGGGGAGCAGTGGGGAGACAGGAGAGGTCTGCTGCGCCATGTGGGTAGCTGGGAATGGAACTCCGTGCTGCAGTGGCTGTGGAGAGCTTCATAGGTTGCATCTTGACCCCTTGCGACAAAGAATCAGTTAACTTATTATTTATACCTCTTTATACCAATTCACACATCATTTAAGACTTCAAAATAGCATAGCTTATGTCTCTACTATTTTGTATGTCTACATATTAGCTTTTTTTTAATACAAGAACTGGGGTACAGGACAGAGGTGTGGGGGTTGAGAGGATTCACCAGAGACAGAGTGGGGAGTAGAACAGGTAGACTGACTGAAACACACTGCAGAGGGGAGCAGCGGGGAGACAGGAGAGGTCTGTTGCGCCCTGTGGGGTGCTCCCTGGCTGACCAGGGATCGAACTCGTGCTGTAGAGGCTGTGGATTGCCTCATAGTGTGGTGCCCACCCCCTTGCGCCATCAGGGAGGCCCACATATTTTGTATATACCTATATTCGAGGACATCTTTGCATCCTCTCTACTGTCGATCACTGGACAGTGGCTCACGGTGGCGCCGCAGGCCGAAAACAAAACAACGACAACAAAGCAACCCAGTGAAGCAGACACTGTGTGTGCGCCAGGGAGGATGAAGTCTCCACTCCGGGCTGTCAGTCACCTGGAAGGGTGGTGGGGAGGGGGAGCAGCTCCTTGAGTCAGTACAAAACTTAACAATTATTGAAACATCCTTATCTTCATATTATTCATATTACTTATAGCAAATCACAGCTGAGTGTTCCTGGCTGCCTCTCCCATGTGTAAGTCCCCACAGGCAGGGGGTTGCGACATGCAAATGACTTGTCCTTTCTCCCTCTGCTCCCTCTGCTCCCCCACCCCCTTCCTCTTACCCTTTCTCACCTTTGATACCCCCTCCTGGACCCCACCCCATCCCCATCCCACCTTCTCTCTCAATCCCCCCTTTCCTCAGCCCCTTCCTGATCTTCGCCTCCTCTCGTCCGGCCTTTAAAAAATTAAATAGACTTTAATTTGGGGGAGGGGTTTTAGGCTTGTAGAAAAGTCAAGTTGCTCACGGTTCCCCTGTCATGAACACCTCGTATCAATGAGGTATAATTGTTGCAGTTGATAAGCTGACACAGTATTATTAACTAAAGCCCATAGTTTTCAGGGGGTTCCCGTCGGATGGGGATCGGATGTGGAGTGACACCATTAGTCTCCCCTGCCCAGATGCCCCCTGTGCTCCACCTGTGCATCCCCTTCCCCCACCTGCAGCCACTAATCGCTGAGTGTCTCCTCCCCCTGCCTTTCCAGAGTGCCCACAGCGGCTTGTTGTAGGGGCAGGAAGGGACAGCGCAGGTTTTCTATGATCCCATGCAGGCGGGGTAAAGGAGAGAGTCCTGGAGCTCTTGGTGGCTTTTGTGGGCTTTTATTGGGATTTACCAGGTACATGGCAGGCAGGGGTGCGGGGGGCGGGGGTGGTGTCAGGAGACGGGCAGGCCTCCCAGCCCCCAGCAAGTCTCCACTCTTCCAGGGCTCCCTGGCGTTCTCTCATGGCCTCTGCTTCTCTCTCTTCTCGTGGTTCTGCTCTGCTCCTGGCGTCCCCCTGATGCCGCCCTTATAAGCCCAGTCTCTCAGCCCAGGTGTACCCAGCCCAGGTGTGCCCACCAGCACATGCCCACACCCCACTCCGGGTGCCACCATCAGGCAGGCATTCAGGACCGCAGGATCCATCATCCATCCTGATGGCGGGAGGGCAGGAAGCCTGACACTCCTTTACCCTGCCCTTATGCAGGAGGCAGGATTTCCAGGCCAGTGTCTTTCCCTTCGTCATGACATTGGCGATTTCTCCATCTTTCTGAGGCGGCAGCTCATTTCTCCTTGGGGCTGCACAGCACCCACCGCTCAGGGAGCACCGCTCACTTCTCCACTCGCCTCCCAGTTTGGGGATGAACAAAGCTGCTGTGAAGCATCGCGAGAGCCGGGTACTGCCGTGTGGGCACGAGTAACACATGTTCGGGTAACAGGACAGGAAGGAGCTGTCTAAGGCCGGGCACCTTAAAGGAGACATTTGGTGACATTCACGACCACCTGACGGCAGACAGCAGGGGCGCCGCTCGCCTGCTCGTGACACAGCCGCGGGGGATTTTCTGCGTGTCGTGTGATTTTAAATGAGAGGATCTTCCCAGACTCTGGCTGTTTTGTTTCATTTTATCACCCGCGTCTGTGGGGGAGGAGGAACTGTTACTGATCTCCGTGGGGTCTGCCCAAGCACCCTGACAAGCCCTGGGCCTTGGGGGTCACCGGGTTTCAGTTCCTTCCCAACATGGGGTGCTTTGGTAAATAAGGGCATCACCCACCTGCAGGGCCTCACACATGGAGGTTATTTTTGTGTGACAAATCGGCGATTGTTGAGCACGACGTCACACGGGCTTCTTCCAGGGGTATTTGCTGTTTTCCCTGCAGCGACAGGGCAGAGAACAGCACCCCCTTTACTGCTGATGCTTCTTTCGCCAGCACGAGGAGCACCTGCGGGCGAACAGTCAGCCGGGATGAGGGGTCTCCAAGGCGAGGCATCGTAAGGGACCTGGAGGTGACCACAGAGGGCAGCGCGGGTGTGGGCGGAGGAGCTCAGGTTTCCTTTCTTTCCTTCAAAGGCCTTTCTTGAATCGGCAACAAAATTACCTAGGATTTACAGAAAAAGCCACCAAGTGGAAGAACCAGTAATTTGAAGGGAAGCCCTGGGGCGACCCAAGGAGAGACACCCCGACTCAGGCTCGGCCCCTCAGGAAGTCCTGGAGACAGAACCAAGGTTCTTGTGGCAGTGATCGGCTTCTCTGGCCGGCAGACAGCAGCTGGTCAGGAGCTGGGCCTGGTCTCCATGGTGACGCGTGGCCGGGGCAGGCCCACGGGTGGGACGCTGGCCGCTGGCGCAGGCAGGTGGCTGCAGGCGCCTCTGAACGTGCCCTTCCCCGAGTGGGTGCAAGACGTGAGCCGCGCCTGGGTGGGGCGACTTCAGGCGTAGACATAGTCACGGCAAACCAGCTTGGAGCTGACGCGTGTCCCCAACACAGTCATTGAGGTTTGGAGCAGTTGACCTTTAGATCTTTTTTTCTGACAAAAATGAGACACCAGAGGAATGATAGAGGGTGAAGAGGAACAACGTGCTGCACATGCCAAAGCACGCCCTCTGCCCACTGGTTCAGGATGACAGCGGGTGTTACCTGAGAAGCTGAAGCCCCGGCGCTGGCTGGGAGGGGGTCCTGTGAGCCCGGCCTGCTCCAGGACAGGAGGCCTGTGCGGCTCCTGCAGAGAACTGGCTTCGCGCCACACTCAGCAGAGGACCGAGGGTTACCTGGTCTCACCTCCGCTTCGAGTTGTTTTCCGGGAACAACCGTGAGCTCACACGCCAGAGGAGCGAGCAGACTTACCGCTCATCTTGGGGCTGGGTCTGGAGAGGGGCTTCAGAGCTCGCCCCATCCTCCCCCACCAGGGCCCCCACCCCCAGGGCCCCCACCCCCAGGGCCTGGAGGCTATGGAGGAGCACAGCCCCCCTTAAAGGCCTCACTCTGGCCCAGTC